GGCATTAGGAGATCAAGGTGCTGTTTTTAGCTCCATTCCAGGATATGTATCTTTTTGTCTCTTTTTTTTTCATAAATCACATCTTCTTGCAGACAACACAGCTGGGGCAGATGAAAAATTCCCTCCTTCACAGCATAGTTCACATTTGGCACCATAATTCTTTAACACAGTAGCTAAACACTTCCAAATAACACAGTTTAATAGATTTGAAAATACATTTGCACATTACAGACAATTTTAGGATAGGCTTCACCTTTCACAAACTAGTGGCCAGTGTCTCTTATTGGGGAAGTCATACAGTGACACCAATTCTGCCAATACTTGCTATTTCTAAGGCACACATTTGCAAACCACTTTAGAAAAACACTGCTTTAGGAACACAGTTTAAATTTCATTACCATTACAGTTTCTTCTAGTGAAGAGAGAAACTGGCTGCATAACCTGAGATTTTTCTAAAGCAATGCAAAGCTCTCAAACTTAACTGTTTTACCAAACTGTAATAAGGAACATGGTGCTATTTATTTTTGCACAGGTATTTTACCTTTTGATGAATTAAAAAAGTCACTTTGCCCAAAACCAAGATTAAACATGAAGTTCAAAATTCAGAAGTTTTCTTTACAGGAATGGGTGCTTCAGGCATATGGGACCCATCAGTTACACAGCTTAGCTCCAGCTTCTGTGACAGATTTGATGATGCCACATTGCTAACAGCATCCAGCCTTAAACATGGTACAGCACCCCTCACCTTCCCCATCTGTCTCAGCAATTCAAGTTGCAGCTCTAGCTTTGTGAGGCTGCCTGTGCTTGTCATGCAGTGCAATAACTTGTGCTTTCTAGACTAAAATACACTGCTCTATCCTACTGAGGAGGGAGCCCCAAGACCATGGAGTGGTCACTGGATGAGGGAAAACAATTGAAACTGAGTGTTGAACAGCTCAAGCCCAGGTTATGCTTCATGTTTATGAGGGGTTCTTCTACAACTTTTATACCAGTGCTGAAAATAATTTTTACCATGTGAGTGTATTTACTTTCTCTCATACAAAATACAAATACAAAACTGCCTCCTAACATCACTTCTGTAATTCTGTAGGTCAGAATTATGTTCAGTATGAGCAGCCTTCCAGGAGAAAGACAGCAAATAAACTTGAACTTAAACTTGAACTTAAAGTGAAATCACTTATAAAACTGAGGTGAAAAGATTTTTATCCAACATCAATTATTATAATCACAAAGAGCTAAAATACAGCAACTATTTCTCATTTGTACATATTGAGCAGAAAAAAAATATTTAAAAATATATCTATATAACAAGCTTAACAGGGAAAAAAACCTCAAACAGTTCTGTACTGCTCATGGATAAGACAGCTTTCCCTTAATTTTTTTAGTGCATTCCCTCTCATTCACAAGAATTAATGCATTTTCTCTTTCTGTTCTAAGGCAAACTGAAAACAATTAACCCATCCTTCAAACTGAGATCAGTGTGAACCAGTGAATTAATACATATTCACCTGAGATCATTCTGAAATACAGGACAAGATCAATAATGATTAACAGCTAAGGTGCACAACCATTTTTTTAAAGAGAAGCAGCATTTATACAGAACAGTTTTTAATCTCTCTAAAGAGAATTACTGAAAACAGTATAGGAGAAAACACTACGAGGACCGTAAGCAGCTTACTCTTCTACTTTCTTCTATTCAATATTGTCCTGTTCCCAACTTTCTGAAAAAATAAAAGAAAAAGAAAAAAAAAGAAGAAAAGGAGGGGGATTAAGAATAAGCAAAAAAAAAGTAATCATTACAAGTATTTCTCCTCTAACTTGGTTCATTTCATGCTTTTGTCAGTTTCTCTCAAACCACTGACTGAATTAATAGTAGTACTATGGTAAATACTACAAGTAGATGCACTTCATCTAGGTCAAGCAGCATAAAGCAAAACCAAAGCTAAACACAGTCTACATGTGTATCCAGCTCTGATTAATTGGCAAAATTAACCTTGATAAGTGATCCAATGGTTTTATTCTTCTTTTATATCTGGAATTAGTTATCTAATCCTTTCTACAGTAATTCTCTTCAATACAATTAGTATCCACTAGGTGACATATTCAAACCAAATGAGATTGAGTACTGATAGAAGTAACCACTGCAACGGTAAACAGAGAACTAACATTCATAAATTCCACTGAGGAAAACTAGATCAAAGCTAAAGGGCCTGTCCTGGACTACCTATGAGTCTCAAGAAACAGAGCCATAGTAATGTTTCCAGGTGGGAAGGATCCAGGCAAGAGCAAAAATGAACATTTTGTCTACTTGTTTTTTGGTCACTCTAGGACATGCCTCAGTACTGTTTCTGTATGCACCAGGTCATGGAATCATGTAACGTTCTGTTGTCCACAGGATTTGGGGATGTATTATTATCTTTAATATGTGGTACATGAGAGGGGAAAATAAGTACATTTAAAATCACAGAAGAAACATGCTGAAGCTAAGGACTCAACTCCCATTTATAGCATCTCATGCCAGTATTTTAATCATGAGACCATCAGGCTGAAATGCATCACTCATGTGCAGCCTTAATCATCTGTTTGTCACAGCTGCTTAGAGACTACATCATGTGAGGGCAATAAAGTCAGAGGGGAAAGTTGTGTTCTGATACCAAAGTGCTCAGAAATACTAAAAAGCACAAATGTACACATTTATCAGAGTACCACACCAGCCACAACTCTGATGAATCTCTTTAAGGAAAATAAGATTCAATCCCAGATCTTGCAGAGGTCAGGTGGTTCACAGGAAATATGATCTCCAAACTGAACAGAAATCCATGGCTACCATGTTTACAGGTGTAAAAACAAACAACTCAACACCACTTTGGTAAAGCTTATAGCAAAGAAAGCTATGATTTTATAAAACTTGTTTGTATCTCTATCACTCTGCAGCTTAAATTCAAGTACTTATCTTGGGATGTTTTTGTTGTATCAGTGCATCAAATGTAATCACACATGAATATTCAGGCAAAACAAAAGTCATGTCAACATGGTATACTCAAAGTGATCTAAACTTGCAAGCTGTATTAACAAAGAAGAAAACTTTTTTTAAAATGCATCTTCATTGTATCTTCAAATACTAACAGAACTTGATTTTGTACAGCATTCTACATATGAGCTGTACCCAAAACACTTGGTAGATTTCAGTAAGACAATTGCAGAGTTAAGCAGCAGAAGAGGAGAATAATTATGTGCTGCAGGCAAGGAAGAAAACAAGCTCTCAGATGGGATTTGAAACAAAAGGCAGAATCAAGATAACTCTGTCTCCCATTTTAAGTCTAGAAGAAATAAATGTCATAAAGCAGTAACAAAATTATTCTGTTTACCTCAATAGCATCATCCATTTCTGTGATCTCACATAACATTTTCAGCTTGTTTCTGGATTAAACTCTTTCTCTGGAGAGCTGTCATCACTGAGGTCACTGTAGCTATCACTGTTAAAAGCAATACAGTGTCAGAAGGATCTAAAAGAAATACTGTATTTCAAACCCTCCAACCCAGACAATGCACATGACAAACACTTTCCTCAGATGCTACCCATTTTTAGGAAACTACCTCAAGCTCAGGCTCAGCTTTGGTATTTGTAGAATGTTTCTCTACAGCAACAGGCCTAAGTTTGGAGTCTAAGAACTGATCAGAAAAAATATTCTACCATATAAACAGTAGTTCCATTTGTTTTTGCTTGGCTCTTGTACATCATTCTGTAGTTTACAGGTGCTGTGTGCCTATGACCATCAGGAACAACATGGAGAATAAGTATTCAAAGCAAGAGCAAAAGGAATTTGTCCTGTATGATAAAGAAAATGATGGTTTCGACCAAAGAAAAAGTCAAGACAACTATAATTTTGTTTACTTGGAATGGTTTGATTTATATTAAATTACAATTCTTGCTTTTCCAGTCAGAACATAAATAATTTTCATTGCACCAAACAATATCCTGACAATATTTCCTGAGGTTTTTGTCACTTCTGCTGATTCCTGAGAGAAGTAGACTGATTTTCACAGAATGAACTGCCATGCAAGTGACTGCTTTGCAAGTGACCAGAACAAGAAAACAGTGAAGAAGAATCATCAAGCTACTAGGAGAAAGAAGTGGCCATAAACCACATTTTCAGTCAGCTGTGATGTCTATTGGGTCTCCAGGTTTATCTTAACTCTTCAGAAGAATCTCCAGCCTTGGGCTCATGCTACTACATTTCACTTCTATAGTCTGTTTTCCAGATACTTTAATTTCCCAAGAGCAGAAGCCAGCCAAGGGAGCCCAAGGAACTGACCAGTACATTTGAGCAGCAATAAGTCTGTTTAGTTCTGTGCTACTGCAGGGCACAAGTTATGGTTAACACAGTACAGGTGGGGATCTCAGACCTCATTTGTGTGGGTACACCAGTGTCAGACTTGGGTAACAACTATCCTCCAGCCACATTGCATGCCTGTCTTGTCACATATCACTCTTATCACACAAGTCTTGATCCTCCAGCAAACAGGACCTCAGTCACATCACACTCCCACATTTGGGCATGATCTCCCAGTGAGACATTAAGCACATAACCAGCCCATGATCCATCAAGACACAAGCTTATCAGTTGATCCACAGCGATTGCCTGCTGTGCAATGTTCCAAGGGTAACTATGTAATAATCCCACAGCTGGAGACCTTTGATCTAGATGGCAATGTGGAATAGTGAACAAACTGCACTTAGTTATACTGGTGCTTGTTACTGAGCACTGCTTTGCAGCCTGAATTTCACCCTCTTGTCTTTGCAATAAAAAAGTAATTTAAAGATGAAGTAAAAACACAGCCATTTGAATAGAGTGGGACAGGAGGAGCAATACCAACAGTCATCTTATTTAATTTCTACGTCTGATCGCTACAAAAGCCTCCCACAGGTACAGCAGAACACTGTACCAAAGTCTGTACAAGATGTAGTAAACATTCTGACTGTTCTAACAATCATTAAAATTTTGCCTACAGCACTCTGCCCTTTCTTCACATGACACGCATGTTGCTGATGCAATTCTTGTAAAGAGTGTGTCATACCAGGCTAGCAAGAAATGCTCAATTTGATTACTACTTCAGCTGGGAAACAATTACACAGTTCAAGTGAGGAAAGTGTTGTTAACAGGATGATCAAGCATGCCAGATGCACACAGACAAACACAACATCAGCAACATTGTACTTACTTCTTTCTGAAAGTACCCATGGAAACATGGAATAAAAATTCAGTATTATTAAAACAGTTTTGCATTTTCAGATCACAGCAAAATAGCAAAAATTGTCCAGAGAACAGAGGATAAAACTATGATTGCAGGGACCTGCATCATCTTATAACAGCCCTGGTTTAAACCCAAAGCCTTCAAAGTTCTCTTTTTTTTCTTTTAGTGGGTTCTGCTGCCTAGTTGTAGTGACAGCTCCTGCAAAAATGCCAGAGCTCCCTATACAACAGTATGAAGAGACAGATGCTGAAGTAAAAATGCTCAGGGACCAATGAGATGAGTGGAGAACTGTCCAGCTTCATCTCTTGAAGACAGTTAGGTACTGATCCCCACCCAACACTCTTATCATAGGTCCTCCCTACTCAATGACATGGCTTTTAGAGGCATTTGCTTACAGAAGCAGTCATACAATGCTGGATGCTTCCGTCATTTCTCTGACTTAACACCCCAACTTCGTAGGCCTGTTTCTAGTCTGCAGAAGCTGAGGTTCACCTGGCTAGCCATGAGCCCAAAGGCTAAAACACTTACTCAGCCAATGAGAATTTTGTTCCTGTTCCCATACTGCCCAACTCAGGACAAGGTTCGACTTCACATCCCTAAGAAGGGCCCTTGTCCCTGCATTTTTTATTTTCAAAATAGCATGTCACACTCTCCTTTATTTAGGGCTGTTCTGCTGGGTGTAAATCAGTTTTATCTCTAACAGGCAAGCCACAGTGTCAAGAAAGTTAGGGGAAATACCGAAGTAAGTATCAGACCTTGGGCTTCAAACTCGGGTAATTCAGTCTCACAGTTTCAGCTGCTTGTATTATATCTCTAAGCACTCCTAGAAGCTGTGGTGTCATGATAACAAGAACAACTTGGGCTCCAAGGAGATCTGAACTTCTTCAAGAGTTAAGCTGCCAGTGGACTTGAAAGCAAACAGGGACTCATGAATCTTGGCATAGCTGCATCTGGGTGTTACAGCTTCAAACCAATGCTGATGTCCAGTTTGTGAGATTTACTGCAACATGAACTGTATTCAACTGATAAGTAATCTGATTAAAAACTCCAGGTGGTTTTAACCAAAAATGAGTCTATTTGGAATAAAAATGTCCTTCCTCCCAAATTACACTGAGTCGCTACACAGGTATTAAACACAAAGATCAAATGGTTGTTTTATTCTCACAGTTGCAATCTTATGTAACCTTACTTAAATGTGCTGGCTATGAAAGTGGTGGTGGTGGGAGATCAAATAAGCCTGGTTTTTCCTTTATGAAATTCTTTTTCACACTGAGTCCTCAACTGAAAAAAAAAGTAAGCATATTTCCTTCAAGTTTTCTCTCAGTTTGTGTACAACTTAAACAGTAATTGTCTTGGTCAGAAACCTAACACCTACTTCATCTTGTTTGTAACCATTCCCACAACAGCCAACTTCAACAAACAGGAGCTAGTGAGCAGATCTAAGGTCATCAAAGAGGTTCTACTCTGTCTTTTCCCCTTTTTTTTTTTTCTCCATGGCATCTGGAGTATAAAGGTGTGGCCAAGAGAAAAACAGAACAAAACTCAGAGTATGCAGTGTCACTGCTTCTAGTCAGTTACTTCAATCTCCAAGATTAAGATTTTTGGTCACTTTGATCCTGATAACTAATTTATCTGTAGTTAATAGAAATACATTCACTGCAAAGTACCCAACCAGTACCCACCTGATATTTCACTTTATGAAATAAGTGAAACTTATTTAATAAGTGAAAATAAGTGAACTTATTTCCTGACTGGAGCAAGGAAAACATCCTCTGTTCAGAAACTACGTTAGGGATTTTGTTTTGTTTTAAAGTTCACTCATCCTCACATCCCCATCTTCTCAAGTAGTAAGCAATAAAAACAGCTTCCCTTTGTATGTGTTCCATTATGACCAAACTCATGCCTGTTCCAGATCTCCCTCTGTTCTCCTGACAGAGGTATCACTCTACCTCTGCTATGCATCAGCATAAAGCACAGAGAGGCAAGATGAGAAGATTGCCTATCAATATGGCATGGAGGGCAGCCAATAGCTGGGACCATATAGTGTGAAGCTGGAATGCAACACCTCAGCAACCTATCTCAGCTACAAAACTACTAGAATGGAGACTCATGATCAATTTTAAGCTTGTATTTCTCAAACAGCTGCTCAAAAGCACCTAACTACCTGCTTTCAATGTTTTTATTAAAAAACACAAGCAATTGCAAAATGGGTACTCCTTGAATGTTCTCTTTGTTTTGTTTAGAAAATCTAGATTAACATTCTTTAAAAATTAATTATTTGACACAGTTGACAGGGGCTTTTAATTTTTTTTTTTTAACATATCATTGACTAAAAGTCCTTTTCCAGAAATGTAAGCAATTTAAATAACTGTTACAGTAATGCTATTGCCTGCAAAGGCAGGAGCCAACCTAAATGCATTTCTTCCTCAATGTAAATTAAAGATAAATGTAATTACATTTAGTACAGGCTGTGGCTGTTTAAAACAATTGTTATAGCTTTCAAGAACCTAGTAAAAAAATATATCCGTCAATTATTATTATTTATTCCCCCACATAAAGGTGTATTATTCAAATTATTATAGTCATTAAAACATTATTTAAAATAAATGCATATTTGATTGCACAATGGTTATAATTGCAGTCACCCATACTTCTCAGTGCATTTAATGATACTATGCTTCCATGAAACATCATTTCATTAAAGAAAACCTCAGCACATACCCTCCTGTAGTTCCTAGCACATAGCCTCCCCAGTTCCAACCTGCCAGACATCTGTACTCACATAACTGCACCTAGGATAACAGTTTTATTAGGACTCAGCATTACAAAAATCACAGCCAAGATGCCAGTACATATCTGAGTGTTATAAAAACTCTCAGCTGAGTCTCATGCATGGGTTTCAATTCATTCAGCAATTCAATTCATTCAGACATCTCCATCTGAGGCAGATACCACCAGGTTCTTACAGTCAATGGAGAGAAATAGGCACTTGTAGAGTATAATGCTTCTGACCCACTCAACCTGTCTGGCTCCTGTGATGTGCATGTTCACTTAGCAAGTACAGAAAAAGACCTAGGGCAACTAGCTCGGAAGTACCTTCACTGCAAACACCTAACATTAAAATTACAAAGTATTTGCCATAACTAATCATTATTGAGTTCATCACTAAGTACCACTATGGCTGAGAAGGGATTTCCTTTACTATGGTTTTCTGTAAGAGCTCTGAGAGCACCAGTAGGTCTTAGCTGTCATGATCATCATCACTTGGGGCCTTCATCCATGAGCCCAGGAACCTTGTCCCCTAGTCCTTGCCCAAGCTATGTTGCAGCTGTGCCTGTACCCATCTCTCTGGTCACTCGTTGACTGGACTTCCTAACTGATCGCAGACCAAATTCATCACTTTACACTTCTGCACTGGACTGTCTAGAACATGGCAACTGCCACTGGAGTCAGTTCACTTGCCTTCTTTGGCAACTGTGGCATCAACTCGTGCTGATGAGAACACTACTCTACTAGTACAGATGCCATCCCTGGCTCCTGAATAGTCTTTTGTGGAGCAGCCCCTCTCCTGTTGCTCTCCTGAAATCTTCAGACTACAAGATTTCCTTCCCTTTCCTCTGAAATATTTGGATTTGTGCCAGATGTGTTATTGGTTGGGGACAGTGTATGGGGGACATCAGAAATAGTTGTGCCCAGACCTCCTTTGTCCCTCATACACTACAACATGGTCACACAGGCTGTTTCTCACTCTGTTTATAGGTGCTTGCACAAACCTCCCTACACCGCTGGCTTGGGAGACAGCTGGACCATGTTAGGGCAGTAAGCACCACATGGGAAAGTCTTCTGAGGTTTTTTCTTTATCCACCACTACTCCTGTCCTCTGGCCACTTTCGTTCCTTGTTTCTGAATCCGACTGATATGTTATCTTTTATTAATAATCTGCCCAGAACGTAACAGATTACTGTCTGGCTAGATGGCATTGGATTGGTGCCTTCCATTAGCATACTCACTAATGTCTTGGAAAAGTTTACTTTGGCAGCAGTCCTCACTTCCCACACTTTCTCACCTAGGAACATTTCTCTCTTCCTATATTTCTTCCCATCTTATTGATCTTTAGCCTGTTACTCTCTTACTCCAAAGAAACACAAAATTTCATTCTTTTCAGCTCGGGTTTCTAAATTCTCTATAATTTTAAAGATATTTCTTTGTTCTGAATAGTGCTTTCTGCTCTTCTTTATACGATATTATTTGCAAATCTCATTAATGCACTGTGGCCTACTCTTGCAGGCCATTAATAAAGATGTTGGCTGAAGAGAAAGAAGAAATAAAGCATGACAATGCTAAACTTGCTCAGGGAAAAAAAAAAAAAAAAAAAAAAGCAACATGGCTTTATTATCAGTGTTTTTGCAATCCACATGACACTTTTACCAAAGATAACCCAGTTTTTATTACTTTTTCCAAGTGAAATTCTGTAACAGTCAGTAAAAGCCAACATTACATCTGAAGTTCCCCTCCTCATCCGCTGGTTTTCTATTAAAATTGTTTGGTAACATACACTTTTTGAGAAGGTGATTCTGTCCCTCTACTCCACCCTGGTGAGACCTCACCTAGAATACTGCATCCAGCTCTGGTGCCCCCAGCACAAGAAGGATGTGGACCTGTTGGAACGTGTCTAGAGAAGGGCCACTAAAATGATCTGAGGGCTGGAGCACCTCTCTTATGAGGACAGGCTAAGGGAGTCGGGGTTGTTCAGCCTGAAGAAGGAAAGGCTCCAGGGGGACCTCATAATGGCCTTACAGTACCTGAAGGGGCTACAGGAAAACTGGAGAGGGTCTTTTTACAAGGGCTTGCAGTGAGAGGACAAGGGTGAATGGTTTTAAGCTGAAAGAAGAGAGATTTAGGTTAGAGATCAGGCATAAATTCCTCAGTGTAAGCGTGATGAGACACTGGAACAGGCTCTTCAGAGATGTGGAGGCTCCATCCCTGGAGGTGTTCAAGGGCAGATTGGCTGGGGCTCTGAGCAACCTGGTCTAGCGGAAGGTGTCCCTGCCCATGCAGGGGAGTTGGAACTTGATGATTTTTAAGGTCCCTTCCAACTTCAAACATTTTGTGATTCTGTTACATCCTGTGGCTCTAGTGCTCTCTGTCCTTTAAAACAAAACATGCAAACTGGCAGCCTCTCACCATGGTGACTCCAGTATTTCCATGGAAAGATTTGGAAAAGGTCATTATTTAAAAGAATTCACAAGGAAATTAAGTGCCTGGCTTTGTCTTAAGTACTCATGCCATAAAGCACAAGAACCAGAAACCACAAAGGCAACTTAGATGCCTAACTACCACTTGAGGTTACTAAGTAATAGCTCATCACTAAGTTACTCCAATCCCTTGTTCAGTTCTTGACTGTCTCTGTATGCTCCAAAGCTCCTGGGAACCAAGAATACCCCAGAGGATGCATTCCAGTCTCAAACTAGGTATGCTCATGTCTATGTGTATGCATTCTCAGACTGTCTACCAGACTAGGCATCACAAATATTTAAAGAGAAGCTTTACTCACTTTTATTTAGTTAGGGCATTCTCCTGGGAGGTGTGACGAATTTTTAAATTTAGTGTTTGTTTTGCTTCAGTGCAGGTGTCAGATGTTCTAAAATTGTGTCCTAATGATGAGTCTGTTCTGGCATAATGATTTCCTGTTAAGAATCTCATGCTGAAATATGTATTTCCTTGTCTCTCAGGACTTCATAATTAACTGTCTTTTTAGTGTCTTTAATAGCCTAGTTTAGGTAACCTGCTCAACTTGCTGGCCTCCACAAATGCTCCTTCCAGTGACATCTTTGCTCTAGTCAACAGTGTGACTACAGTTCATGTAGGCAGTGCTAGATGAGGTGTGCAGAAAATCTTCTCCTCAGATTTGTTTCAGGCCTGCTATGACACGCCTTAGCATTGCTGGTTAATGAAATCACTAGCATCCCAAGGTTTAAAGGTTTAAACTGGAATTCCTTTCCACTCAGCAGGCAGATATACTCATATGAGTGGGTGTGCTGTAATTAGCACTGACATTACCTCCCAAATGTTCTTCCCTGCAAAATACTCCACTTTTAGCCTCAAAATGTTCTTCTTTTCCAATGCTCTTTCTCAAAACAGAGGGGTTCACTTGATTGCTGTGAAACTAGGTAAAATGTGGAGTTTCTATTTTTATATAAAAAGTTTTGGGGTACCAATTTTTGCCTTTGCTAAACATTTAACTATTCATTGGAGTTTACTGTATGAAGAGAGTCGTGTATATTTTTTTATTAATCTGATTAAGTATAAGTGCAGCACATTCAGTAATTGCTGAAACTTAGAAGTCAAGGTTAGAAAATGTATTTGCTGTAATGCTAAGGAATTTAAATTTAAAACAGCAGGACACATGCAGATGAGTCATTAAAGAAAATAATTTTTCTGTATCTCAGAGAAACCAATAGGTGTACTCATGGGGAGAAGCAGTGAAATAAAGGATATTGGGACCTGGGAAACAAGAAGAACTGTGAGGCAAGGAGTGCCCACAAGAGCAAAAAATCATTGTGCTTGAAGAGTCCTCTCCTGTGAAGCATCACAAATACTTGAGCTGAGTAATGCACTAGCACAAATTTTAAAAGGTAGGAAATGTTATAACCACTAGTAACAATGTCAGGCTAGGGTAACAGGAGTATTTTAATCAAGCTGTAGCTTGCAGATCACAAAAAAATTCTCTATGTACAGCATTGCATAATTGGCCAGACTGAGCAAAAATGAAGTGCATTTATGAAAGACAACTGATACCCATAAGGAGTAGGGTATCAAAACAGATTGATCTGGTCTGGCTTGGCTATTTTCTATTACTACGGAAACCTGAATTTCTAATTCTTGCTTAAGAAAAGAACCTCACTTTAACAGAAAGCAATGCTCAAAGAAAACCCCATCCCACAAAATTACTAAGTTTTGTGCCTCGTTCAGAGGGAAAAGCCAGTGCACCAGAGCTGGATCTGTTCTATGTTATTATTCAGTAATTCTGTATTTTTATTATTTTTTTTTGCTATTGTACCCTAGGCTTCCTTCTGATCTCTTTATTATTGTTACTGCAGTGAGTTAACACTAGCTAAAAACTACTGCTACATTCAATAAACCAAAAACTTTGTGTCCAAGGGAACCAGGATAAAGGATTTTAGCTTGGCTGAACCATCCAGTTTTGATCTAGATCCAAAACCTTCCAGAAGTCTAAAGATAGTTCAAATGTTTTGCCTCAGGCCTGTCTCTGCTAACTGGTTTTAATTATTTAGCTACTGCAAAACAGAATCAGTGTTTTCTTTTTTGTTGCTATCATCACTCAAACACAACTTGGTAAGAATTTCACTCATTGCTTGATCCTCTAGCAAATATCTTTCCCTGGGAAAGTACTGTTAATGGAAATCAACACAGGAGGCCACTAACATGAATTTACTCATGGTTTTTTACTTCTTCCTGGTTATAATGTATGGATTTGGCTTTAGCCCTAACAGCATCTGAAAAGAAGAAAGTCAGGCTACTGTGCTTACTGCTTACAGATACTTTTATACCAGGGTTTATGTCAGGCATGCAGGAACAAGGAAAGCAATGAAGAACTCTTTTTCCTCTTCTGGACTTCCAAGTTGAAGGATAGGACAGACCCTCCAAAAACGTGACTGTTAAACTGCAGGCAAGTAAGAAGCTTACCTTGGAGACAATTTACATCCACGTTGCAGGTATGCACTGAGTGTCCCAGTTGCTGCTAGCAACAGTCCAAGGTAAGGTGGTGAAGGTTTCATAGGTCTTGAGGAAAACTCTGGGTGGAACTGAACTCCGACAAAATATGGGTGATCTGCAAGATAGATATAAAAGAAAATTACAAGATGTTGAATGAAGATCATAAAACACCTGTTAGAAAAAAAAGTTTATTAAAGAAGGGACACAGGAGTCCAGAAGCCAGAGCAGCATATGTGAATTTAAGGGCAAGACAGCAGGAACTTTAACCTTTTCCACAAAGAACAATTGACAACAGGGGCAGAAGGTTAGTAGGGCAAGTTAAGGAAAAATCATCCTGTGATTCAACCTTAACATGTAAAATGATGTAATTAAAAGCTGAATAATAAACATGGGGAGGTGGGAGGGGGGACAGGGGACAACACACAAACAACCACAGAGTCTACGTTAATGATGTTATTTTCATAGTATTTTGGTTTCATATATATATTTATGTATGTATATTCAGAAGATGCACAGATACATATCTGAGGCAAAAATAAAAGAGCTCCTAAAACACCAAGCATTATCACGCAGCAACTATGTACACACTGAGAAATTGATATGAAAGCAACATACACAGAAAATTTGGAAAAACAAGCTTCAAATAATCAGGCCTGGAAAGGATCTCCTGGGACACCGAGCTCAATCTCCTGTTACTGAGTTTGGCTACATCGAGTTCTCTCATGCACAACATGTCAAGGTTCTGCTGTAACACCCCCTCAGATTTTTTTGCTTCCACCTAGAAAGCTCTTCTGATACTCTCTTTTGCGTAGAAACCTTTCCTGAATTCACAGGCTCTTTGTTACAGCCAACTCACATCCATTTCTTATGGTGCTCTTTTTCCTGAAGAAATCATACAGTTTGGCCTGTGTGATTAAGGATGACAATATCACTATCATTCAACTCCATCTGCTAAGCAAAACAAGCCACGCTGCTTCATTTTCTCTTAAATCCTCAACTATTTCCCAAACAAAGCACCTCTTTGCTTCTGCTTCTGTTTCCCTTCTGTCTTCTTTGAAAGGATAAGGAAGGAAAAAAATTTTTGTACTCTTTCATGCTGTGCACTTGTTCCTTCTTTGAATATAGTTTTAAAGGAGCTAACATTAATCACCTTTAGTGCCAAGACTTTGGATGAAGTAAGCCACTGATGTCTTCTCATCCAACAGTTTCAAAAATAATCTTAAACATTCAAGGGATTTCTCTGCAGTACAGAGCAAATAATACCAAGAAAGCTGGCTTTTTCTTCTAGGAAGATAAACTATATGATCCTGTATACTGCTCTTCTCCCTGCTGCTATGTCTTAAAGAGAACCTGGATCCTAAGTTTTTTTCCCATTATTTCCTTCTCTCTACCATGAAATTTAGTTCTTTGAAGCTGTAAAACAAGACAATGACAAAGGATCAAATCTTTCTTGGGGAGATACTTTGCCTAAAAGTTTTGCCTAAGCTATCTGGTGTACTGTTATTTCTATGCTTCCACTCCAGCCCACCCTCCTCCCTGTGTTGATTGTTTTTATTCAGTAATCAGTCTCCTTGCAGCCCATTGTGAAATAATTCCAGGTTTTACTGCTGCTTTTATTCTTTTCACAGTTAACATGTAATTTTAAAATCCTGCCTTCATTATGCTCTCTTTAGAAGTTGCTTCATGCAGGGCAGACACGATAGCCTCCCAATGCCAGCATGCACAACAGAGGTCATATCAGGAACAAACTAAGCAAAGGACACCATGACAATCAGCAGTTTATGAATTCATGTATCCTTTGCTCTGAGATTATGGTGCAGTTACCATTATAAGCAGTTGTCTATATTCAAACCCTGGTGCAAAATTACAGCATTGCTCTTCAACATACTAAGGAGTATATAAAATTAATTCTCAGAAGCATTTTGTCACAAGCAGCACTCCATAGGATGGTAATGTATTCTTATGATAAATTTATGTTTCTGTGCACAGAGTTCATCTTAACCAATGGCAATTAGGGACCACACAAAGAAAGGAAAAAAAAATTAAGGTAGTCTGCATCTTCAGGTGCTAGATACTCATGTAGCCAAGAGTGACTTAAAAGCAGAGTTAATAAAAGAATCAAGCAAAATCCAAGCAACTGTTTCTAAGCACTACTCTCTGTAGCACTCAGTAGACATGTGCAGCATAGTTCCTTTTTGTTTCAGAACCTCTTAGAAAAAACATCAAGTCTTACTTGGTAAAGTAGTCCAAGTATACCAGATTTCCACAGTATCAAACTCTCATCTATCTGAATCATTTCTGTGAAAGAAAAGAGCTTGTTTTCTGGTTTAATTCTTTTTTTTCTATTACTCTAAACAGAGTAACTGAAGAAGAAACAAACTGACTGGAAGGTACCTTGAGAGGTCTCTAGTCCCCACCGCCTGCTCAAAGCAGGGTCAAGTTCAAAGTCAGGCAAAGCTGTCAGCAACCTAATTTAACTTTTGAAGTTAAAAGATTAAACATTTTGAAGGTGTCTGCCGGGATGGAGATTTCACTGCCTCACTAAGTAATATATTCCAGGGACGTTTTATACTTTGGCTATATGGCATGTACAAATATTTCACATACTCAAGCAAACCAAACATATTTTAGCTATTGGGACTTGACTAAGAATGTTTGAGGGTGTGTAGGGAGCAGGCCAACGTCATTGCGAAGTCAGTTGTTATCTTTAAAAACCAGGGTGATCATGAGAGGTTCCTGGTGACTGGAAAAACACAGTCACCATACCCTTCCTCAAGAAAAACAGAAAGAAAGATCCAAGGAATTACAGGACAGTCCGCCTAACTTTATGGCAAGATTATGAAACAAATCCTCTTCCAAAGCATTTCCAGACACATTAAGAAATGGGCACAAGCAGCATGGGAACAATCAGTCTTTCAGTGCAGGGAGAGCAGCAGCCTTCCTTAATCCTGACTTTAGCAAAGCTTTTGACACGGTTTCCTAGCATCCAAGTTGGGACCTAAGGACAGTGGGTAGATTACAAAGTGTGTTAAAAATGACTGGACTCCTCTGTTCAAGGAGTAGGGGTGAGTGGTTTAAAGTCCAACTGATAGCACACTTGGAGATACACACAGTTTGACTGATATGGCTCTCAATAACCTGATCTGTATTTGAAGGTAGCTCTGTATTGAAGCAAAGGGCTGGACTAGATGACCTCCCAAATCACTCCATGATTCTACATAGCCAAATCTCACTAAGCTAGAATTATGACCTTTTGGAAAAGGAGCATATCTCTCCCTGGTAAGCAAACATACACACAATCCTTGGGAAGTGTAAGACTTCTCCCAACACCCTCTGAATCTTCACCATTGGAATACATAGGTGGAGTCAGTGGGATCATACCCAACATGATCTTGGCTGTTATGATAGCTAAATAACATGCCTACGTGCCACTGAACAATTTTAGTTTACACAGTTTTAATAGATGCAGGAAGTACTACAGACAAGTAAGACACTCACTCTCCAGTTCAATAATTTCCATTCTGTTCCCTTCTGTATCATGGCCAACAAATTTCAAACCTTTCTCTTCAAAGCAGTGAGTCAATTCTGGGTTCACCTGAAATATTGGAAGTAATAATAATTTTAGTTCTATTTATGCTTTGATTTAACAGACACTAGTAGCTAATTGTACCATTTTTGTGATGCATACAAGAATGAAAATAACTGACAAAAAAGTTGGGAACTTTTGCTTTTGTGTTTTAACATCTCTCTGGTGTAACTTTGTAAAGTGAGAGTACTTATTTAATAAAAGTTGAGTCAGTAATTTTAAAACTTACTACCTAACATTCAAAATAGTCAGGGCCCCTTCTGCTTGCTGTCCTCCTGATTCTTAAGCATCCTCACTACAGTTGACTTAAAGAATGACCTCCCCTTAGGAACACTGCATTTCAGTGGTCCTGACACAAGCTGTGGTTCAGCTTTTCCTTCAAACTGAGGAGTTCTGCAGTAAGCTGTTTTATTTCCTTGGTGATGTTCTAGCCAGTCAGCAAATATTCAAACTCTTAGTATATTTACCACCAATACGTTCTCACCCAGCTTTTTAAGAAAACTTAACATTGTCTGAATCAGTTTGTAGTGTGCACCCACCTCATTGCTTAGGCCTCTCTGGAGATACTGATCTAGTCAGGTTCCTTCTGAACTATCTCACAGATAACTCTAGGAGTCCAGCTCTTACCTGTCTACTTGAATGACAGTATTTTCAATATAAAAAGATACCTTTGCTCAGATGTTCCCAGAGGAGTGGACCTATACAGGGGGCCTGTGGAGTTGGATGGTAGGAAGCAAGTTATCTGAATCACCCTCTGAATTGTAGATGCCTGACGTCTGCCTACATTTAGTCTATGAAAGAATGTGCAGTACCTGAACATAATCTAAGCCTTTAAATAAGCCAAATTGGCCAAGGAGCAACAAATGTAATGATTACAAGCCTTTACCTTTCAAATACTTCACAGGAAGTCAAGTCAGGTAATCTCTGACATAATTCTACAAGACCATTTTGCTAAAACACTGCACTCTCTCTACCACAGAAAGAAGTACGCATGGAACACTTGAAAGAGCACCTCTGCAATACTGCGTCTAGTTTCAGTCCCCTCACTACAAGAGAGAGACTGACAAAATGTTGATAGGAGGTCCAGGACGGGTAGAGGGGTGGACCACATGCAACACACGAGGAGAGAGACTGGACGAGGTGGATTTGTTCAGTCTGGAGAAGAGAAGGCTCAGCATGGACCTTGTTGCTGGTTAAGCACTGGAACAGATTGTCAAATGATGTGGAATTGTGCTCTTCAGAGAGATTAAAAACTAGATGAGACAAAACCCTGAGTAGCCTTATCTGATTTTGAAGTTGACTCAACTCCAAACAGGGAGTGGTCCAGAAGACTTACAGAGGTTCTTTCCAATGTAAATTATATTATCTAACCACTACTGACTTTCGGTTTATGTAAGAAATCTCCCATTGGCTTTCAGAAGAATTGTGCCTACCAAGAAAAAACTATTTCCTTAAGCTTTAACTTTTGAACAAAAAGTACATTAGTAGTGCTTACCTCATATCGATGCCTGTGTCGCTCCTCTACAAACACTTCATCGCCATAAAGTTTCCCTGAATATAAAAAAAAAAAAATCATGTTAATGTTCTGCTTTAACAGTTGTTACAACTATTTCTCGCAATTTAAACCTCAAAAAACCAAAACAAATCATGTGTAAAACATAACACTCACTCCAGCTTTGGTTCTCTGAGTGATAACTAGTCGCTTTGAAATTACTGTTACCTGAGTTTATTCAGCATTCATATTCAACATTCCTCTCCCAGAAACAGTTTAGGTAGACTAGATTCTGAAGGCTACTAATTTAAACTGATTGAAATTGTAAAACACAAAATAAATTTTAAAAAATGTTTGTGTGAACAAGCAACATAAAAACTTTCAGGGTTTTACAACAATTATATGCAAAAGGTGCAGTGAAGGCAGCTCCACAGCCTTTTAGTAGCATCTGTTCCATTTTAATAGATTATGCTTGGCAGCTGGCATAATACCTCCAATGTCAAATAGAGAATATTATTTTTCTCTATTTTCCTGATCTCATTACCCAAATGATCCTTGCAGTCCTCTGAGTCTAATCTGGAACACTCTACATTGTAGAACAACAAAGAGTAAATTGGAGGTGTGCAGTAAACCAGAATTTAATAATATCTTTCACCTAGAGTCATGGCTCAAACTTTCCTCTCAATTTATCCTAATGTCACTAAGATCACTGTTTTGCTTAGGGGTTGGTACAAGAACTAGACTACCAAGAAGACCTCCAGAAACTGTAGACTGATAGTACTGCAATTTTACAAAAAGTGGTATGTGTGTTAATTTTAAGGAACCACCTTCTCAAAACCTTTATTTTAATTCAAGTTGTAAAGCATTAGGAAGAGGAATCAGATTTTCTGAGTAGACTATTACAAGTCATAAAGTCTTCAGGGTTGGAAGTGACCTCTGAAGATCATCTAGTCCAACCCCCATGCTACAGCAGGATCACCTACAGTATTTCATAGAATCATAGAATCATAGAATCTTAGGGGTTGGAAGGGACCTTGAAAGATCATCTAGTCCAACCCCCCTGCCAGAGCACAGGAACATGTCCAGATGGGTTCTGATTGTCTCCGGAGAAGGAAACTCCACAATCACTTTGGGCAGCCTATTCCAGTGCTCTGTTACCCTCACTGTAAAGAAGCTTCTTCTTACGTTTAACTTGAACCTCCTATGCTCCAGCTTGTGCCATTGCCCCTTGCCCTGTCATTGGACACTGGAAAAGAAAGTGGACCCACACTCCTGACATCTGCCCTTTAGATATTTATAAGCATTTATGACATGTCCCTCAGTCTCCACTTCTCCAGGCTAAACAGACCCAGCTCTCTCAGTCTTTCCTTGTAGTGCAGATGCTCCATTCCTCTAATACTCTTTGTGACCCTGCACTGGACTTTTCCAGTAGTTCCTTATCCTTTATGAACTAGGGAGCCCACAACTGGACACGATACTCCAGTGATGCCTCATTAGGGCAGAACAGAGTGAGAGGATGACCTCTTGACCTGCTGGTCACTCTCTTCTTGATGCACCCCAGGATGCCATTGGCCTTCTTGGCCACAAGGGCACATTGTCAGCTCACAATCAGCCTGTTTTCCACCAGTACCCTAAAGCCCTTGTCCCCAGAGTTTCTCTCCCCCCCAGGGTTGGTTAGCCCCCAACCTGTCCTGACACATGGGGTTATTCCTCCCTAGGTACAATAACATACACTTGCCCATGTTGAATTTCATTAAGTTTCTGCCTGCCCAGCTCTACAGCCTTTGAAAAATATGATCACCTAAACAATTCCTAATATTAGTAAAGAGATACAACACATAGTAATTTTTAACTTTTTCAAGAAGTGCTTAGGCCACAGATACAGCATCACTAGTTGTGATACGCGTATCTATATCACACCCAGGCCAGGTCGGTCAGATTACTAGCACAGGCATGCTCCAGAAAGGCAGATTTTTCATTAAATGTCCATACATACTGCACTTTGGTCTCCTTATTACCGAAACATTTCAGAAAGCAGAAAACCAAAGATGATTGCTCAATAAGGACTCTACGAACTTCATAGTTCTAGTAATCCTTAATAAACCCACACTTAATCCCCAGTCCATTAACTGTTGGCCTAGCTTAAATCCCTCTTTCCTCATAATTGATACTTCTTAACTTGTAAGATTCACATCTCAAAATCAGAAGTCAAAGTAGAAAACTAGTATGACTTATAACTTTTAAGTTTATACTGCTGGGCTCATCTACAGCCTCTTGAACATTAGATACAGATAAATCACCCATAAAGCAAAAAAGTAGATACTAAGTCACTCTCCTGAACAGAAGTCAGTTAATGGTGACAGATAAATGTTGCCATCTACAAAAAGTTTTCACCTCCAGTGTTCCCCCAGATTACCTTCTCTGTTTCTCTTCCAAATCTATCAGTCCACTGATAGCAACATGCCTTGGTCTTTGTTTCCAACATTAGACCAAATGTATAACTTATAGAATCATAGAATCATAGAATCATAGAATCTTAGGGGCTGGAAGGGACCTCGAGAGATCATCTAGTCCAACCCCCCTGCCAGAGCAGGGTCACCTAGAGTACATCACACAGGAACTCATCCAGGTGGGTTTTGAATGTCTCCAGTGAGGGAGACTCCACAACCTCCCTGGGCAGTCTGTTCCAGTGCTCTGTCACTCTTACAGTAAAAAAATTTTTTCGGATATTCACCTTGAACCTCCTATGCTCCAATTTACACCCATTACCCCTTGTCCTATCACTGGTCATCACTGAGAAAAGCCTAACTCCGTCCCCCTGACACTCACCCCTTACATATTTGTAAACATTGATGAGGTCACCCCTCAGTCTCCTTTTCTCCAAGCTAAAGAGACCCAGCTCCCTCAGCCTTTCCTCATAAGGGAGATGTTCCACTCCCCTAATCATCTTCGTAGCTCTGCGCTGGACTCTTTCGAGCAGTTCCCTGTCCTTTTTGAACTGAGGGGCCCAGAACTGGACACAATACTCCAGATGTGGCCTCACCAATGCAGAATAGAGGGGGAGGAGAACCTCTCTTGACCTACTAACCACACCCTTTCTAATGCACCCCAGGATGCCATTGGCCTTCTTGGCCACAAGGGCACATTGCTGGCTCATGGTCATCCTCCTGTCTACCAGGACCCCCAGGTCTCTTTCACCTACACTACTCTCCAGCAGTTCAGCCCCCAACCTGTACTGGGACATGGTGTTGTTCTTCCCCAAATGTAAAACTCTGCACTTCCCCTTGTTGAATTTCATCATGTTTCTCCCCGCCCAACTCTCCAACCTATCTAAGTCTCTCTGAATGGCAGCACAGCCTTCTGGTGTGTCAGCCACTCCTCCCAGCTTAGTGTCATCAGCAAACTTGCTGAGGGTACATTCTATACCCTCATCCAGGTCGTTGATGAAGATGTTGAACAACACCGGTCCCAGTACCGACCCCTGTGGGACTCCACTAGTCACACACCTCCAACCAGATTCTGCCCCATTGACTACAACTCTCTGACTCCTTCCTTTCAACCAGTTCCTAATCCACCTCACTTCCTGGTCACCAAACCCATACCTGATCAACTTTTCTACAAGGATGCTGTGGGAGACGGTGTCAAATGCTTTACTGAAATCAAGATAAACCACATCTACCGCTCTACCATCATCTATCCACCTAGTAATTTCCTCATAGAAGGCTATGAGGTTAGTCAAACATGATTTACCCTTGATAAAACCATGTTGACTGCTCTTGATGACCCCCATGTCCTTGATGTGCCTGGAGATAGTGCCAAGAACAAGTTGTTCCATCACCTTTCCAGGGATGGAGGTGAGGCTGACCGGTCTATAGTTACCCGGGTCCTCCTTCTTGCCCTTCTTGTAGACTGGAGTGACATTTGCTATCCTCCAGTCCTCAGGCACCTCACCTGTTGCCCATGACTTACTGAAGATGATGGAGAGTGGCCTAGCAATGACCTCCGCCAGCTCCCTCAGCACCCTTGGGTGCATTCCATCTGGACCCATTGATTTATGGATGTCCAGATTACTCAACTGATCCCTAACCCAATCCTCATCTACCATGTCAAACTCTTCCTCTATCTTGACTTCTTCTGGGGCTATATGAATCTGGGGCTCATAGGGAGACCCTGCAGGAGTGAAGACAGAGGCAAAGAAGGCATTCAGCACCTCTGCCTTCTTTATATCCTCCGTCACCAGGGCTCCCACCTCATTCCTCAATGGGCCAATATTGCCTCTAGTGCTAGTTTTGCTAGCTATGTACTTGAAAAAGCCCTTTCTATTATCCTTAACCTGACTTGCAAGGTTAAGTTCCAAGGAGGCCTTAGCTTTCCTAATTGCCTCCCTACATCCTCTGACAACAGTCCTATACTCCTCCCACGTGACCAGCCCCTCCTTCCATGATCTGTAGATTTTCCTTTTCCACTTAAGTTTGCCCAGTAGTTCCTTCTTTAACCATGCAGGTCTCCTAGCACCCTTACTAGATTTCCTAACCATTGGGACGCTCTGATCCTGTGCTTGCAAGAAGTGGTCCTTGAATGTTGACCAGCTATCTTGAGCCCCTTTATCTTCTAGCACCCTGTCCCATGGGATTTCCCTTAATAGATGATTGAGGAGACCAAAGTTTGCCCTGTGGAAGTCCAGGGTTCTGGTCCTGCTGGGTATTTTGTTCCTTCCACACAAGTAGATGTAATTTTTAAGAGATCAGAAGGATACATTCCATGAGTCACCATAGCTTAATATAGTAATAGCTCAGACCAATGTCGGGGGCAGGGCAATATAAGAAATATGCTTGTATTTATCAAACAAACCACTTTTTACACATTTTCAGCATCACTTCTGCTACTACTGTGTAATAGGCTGATTAAAACAAGACAAGGATTACTTCAATTTCAAAAATCATATAAACCAAATTTAGTAATTTATTCTATATTCTGGTTTCTTTTATTTTGCCTTTTGAAGCATCCAAATAGTTTTTCTTTGCTATAACAAATTAACAAATAATTTGCTTTCCCAAAGCAAGACTGTTGTCAGGCTAGGCCTAGGGCAGTCTTCCACCAGAGACCGGAGTTAAGCAGGGCCTGGCTAAAATTAGAATACAAAGTAACAAACATTGTCAATTCAAAGTGAAGACTAAGGCAGCAAGGCCAGATGATGTTTAAGGCTGAGATATACTGGCAACCTTACGGAATGAGAAACAAAGTTTATGTCTGGCAAGAACATAATGGGTAGGAGGTTGGGTTCTACCAAAACACTTCAAGGGTAGAAGCCCTGTTTCACACATTCTATCAACTCATAAAGAAAACGGGAAGACAACAATCTGATCTTTCCAAGAAGACAACAAATAAAACTACCATAAAATGCATTTCAGTTAACTCAACAGTCTCCTCATTGCTTATTTAAAGTTTTGGACCCTAACTGGCCTTTTCACTTCACTTCCAGATGTCTCTCTTTTCTTTACATTCTGATCCTGGGAAAACGTACATGGGAACAAAGAGTGAATGAGCTCAGGGAAGCTGTCACCAAACTACTTGCTTGAGGTGGCAGCCCTTTAGCAAAACGTGCTTTGGAATTTTTGTTTTGCCATGTTAATGAGTTCCTATCCAAAGGGCAAGTCATAAAAGCAAAAATGTAACTTACGTAAAACAGAATTTTCTGTTTTGAAAACAGTCCTCCTCTTCCCCAGTCTCATTGTTCCACCCATATCTCCAGGATTGTGTTCTGGCATGTCAATAACCTGTAGCAAAAAAACAGTTTCATCCAACAAAGAAAAAAAAAAAAAAAGGCGAGAATGTGGTAACAGCCTGCACAAATTTATAAATCATATCATTATTTTTCCTCCAAGCATTCCCAATGATGACTTTGCTTTGGTTTCTCTAATGCTTTGCTCTCAGTACTGGGATTGTAATAGACTGAGGATGCTAACTGGTGTGAAACTTCTTCATTTAATATTATTAATTCCTTAATTTCATTTTTGGGGTGGAAAAAAAACCCCTTCTTTTAAAACAGATACCAGTATGTAAGCAAGAGGATAATTCTGCCAAAAGTTATTCTTCCTATAAGAATACATTAGGTTTTTTTAAAAAAGATAAACTCATAGACCAAAAAAATCCACCAAGTGATAATGATATAAACTCTAAAAAAGCAATTCCCTGAACCAAAGCCACTGATAAGAAGCTGAAAGAATAACCTGGGTAAATAATCCTGTATACCAGACTCTTTCTTATACTGTTCTTTTTCCACAACATCCTTAGTTACATTAAGAAGCAGAAACAGTTGTCTTATGGAGACAGTGTAAGTCCCCCTTTTTGGGAAGTGGGGAGAAAGGGAGGACATGGAGCAGCAGAGTGAAAAGAGGGCACTTGTAACAAGACTAATAATAAAATGCTGTAAAAGCCAAGTACTAAAAGAGGTGACTCCAACATGTGTGTGCTACTTTATTTATGTAACTATTTTATCACAGGTAAAAAATGGAAAAACCTTCCTCCCTAATTCAACTTTACTAAGAAGTTTCTCAGATTGCCTAAGAATCCACAAAATACTGGGTTGCCTTTTATGAAGAACATGCTAGTAAACATAACATGTAAAGAAAAGAATATACAGCTACTGGTTTTGAGGACTGAAGCAGATGGGTCAAGTGGCTGCTATGCAAGTCAAGTGCAATCCAGGATGTGGGATTCAGAGGATGTGAGAAACCACAGCTTAGTGAAAGGAGTTTAGTCTTGCTCATTTTGAAAAATTCTGCTGGGTTTCTCCGTTGTGTTTAGAGGAAATCTCTCTCAGAGAGGTAGAACAGTTCAAAATTGTAGAAAAACATGAGCTGAAACTTTGCCCTACGGACTTGTATTCACATATACACAGCCAGTGAGGAATGTAATTCACAAAGAAAGGTTCTAAAAATACAAATATTCACACATATGGGTAATCTGGAATTGGATTTTTATTAACCTTAATTTGGCTTCTGGGAGTAATGAAAACAATTTCTGATTATACACTTCATAAAGTTATTCGATTTAGAAGGGATGGTGGAAAGTGCTTAGCCTCTGGCCTTGTGCCAACACATTTCAGTTGTGCAATTATCTCTGTATAACCTTATACCTTCAAAATGTTATTTGTAAGCAATATACTCATTATAAAATGTCAAGAGCAGAAGTTGTGATCAAACCAGTGGGTTATTACAAATCCCCTAATTACCTCCCAAATCATGAAGGTGACTATGCAGCACATTCAGCTAAAATAAAAACCCCACAAACTCAAAAAAACCACATCAAACAACAAAACCCAAATCATTCATTAAATTCCTAATACTTAAAAAAAAATTAGTTCAACTGTTCTTACTTTATTTCCTTCCACGTTTGTTTTTTTTTAATTTTCTGAAGTAGTGGCCACAAAAAAAAAATAAATAATAGAGCACCAGAAGCAGTTGGAAGTCATACAGTAGACTGTGTGTATGTGAAACGCTGAGCCTCTGAAGCCAAACAGAAGTTTTCCAGGAGTTGTTACTTTCAGATATCCTTAAAGCTGTGCTCCTGACTTTTGTTAAATGGAGCTGAAGTGGTAACAAGGAGCTGTCAAGTACTTCAAGTATATGCTTCACTCCCAGTTACAAAAAAAAAATTCACTTTAACAGCTCCTCAATGAACATTTGCAGCTGAAAAGATAACCAATGGAGGGTTTGTTTGTTTGTGTTTTCTTAAGTTGGGAGGGTGAAGTCAAGACTAGACACTTCTTCATTCTCAAAAGGGCATCAAGCACTGTTCCTTAACCTCAGCTTTAGATTTTTCTTCCTGAAAGTTTGGGGCAGGATATTTTGGTCTAACTTTGCTAACCGAATCATGGTAATACCCAGGTGTTCAAGGATCCCCCCCCTCCCCTTTCTTCAGAAAAAAGTAGATTTCACTACTTTCACCTTTCAGTATTTACTGTACTAAGATATTACCTCAGAACATTTTGAGAACATAATGCCATAAATAGAAGGAAGGATGGAGATACGAGTGGGATGGTAACTTCCTGAAGGACATTGCTCACCTATTAAACTCGTCAGTTAAAACACTGGCTCCAAATAAAGTGGAGTTGTTTAAGCAATCCATAGCAAATTTCAGTAATTTACTGTGCTTAAATGTGTTCTCCAGCAAAACTCAAAAATGTTAGTTAGCAAATATATGGTTTCCTGTTTATTAAACAGAGGATATCAGTTAAAACAGGTTACAGCCACATTCTCAGCTCTTCCTACTTTCAGTACACAAAAAACCCCCACCAAATTCTCACAGGTCCCATTAAAACTCTAGATAATGACCTGGAATGAAGTCAAGACTGTGAAAGCACAGCTTCAACTGCTTTGCTGAGGACTTCTGCCACCCATTGGGTGAGAACCTCACATGGAGCTGCAAGCCCAGCAAAAATTCCACTGGAGAAATGGCCTGACAGGGAAGATCTGGGCACTTTCCCCCAGTTAATCTTTGTCTTCTAAAACGCTTGCTTCCTTATCTTAACAGTTACATTAGTGTGATCAGGGGCACATTTCAGAAGAGGATCCAGCTTTCACTAATGTCTTCTAAATCTTATTTGAGGTGTCTTTTAAGAAACACTGCAGGATACAACTGTTCAATCTTATTTCTATCTGTAGCAGGTCTTATACCAATATGACTGCTGTATTGAATTTCAACATCAAGCAGCTTACCGAGTGTGCTCATGTTTTATTATTGATAAGTGCATTAGAAAGTAGTTCCTCCCCTTCCCCCAGATTTTAAAATTTATGATAGTAAGAAAACAGACAAGGCTTCAAATGCTAATTTTTTTAGTCAAGTGAGAAAAAGATCTGCTTATTAAGTAATCCTTCTGTCTTCTTTATGGTGTATGCTCTGTGGCTCTGACCAGCTTCAGCAACTATCACAGCACAGCCCTCAATGTTTAAATATTGTGAATTTCTCTGAAACCTAGTCTGTGCAAGAAGCTTTCAAAAGCAAAGTGGCACTGCTGCCCTACAGCCCAAGGACAGTAATAAACATCAGATAATCAACTGATATTATAGACAGCTTTGCCATATTTTACATAATTTATTTGATCAGATAAAAGACAAACCTTCAAGTGGTGCTTATTTTTAACAACTGTGCAACTGACTAGATTCTACAATAGATTCTTCAAAGAGCTTATGCTTCCTGCCACAGAATAAATCAGCCCTTCCTATGCATTATTTCTTTGAAGAGTAGAGAACAGCATAGAACAACAGGCACCACAAGCAAGAAAAAAGCATCAGTAGGCAGGGTGCAAGAAGACATAAGGCATTAATTAGGACTTTCTTGCCCAAACCTCTGAAAACTACCAACACTACAGGGATTTTTACACCATGTATTACACATCAGACAGCCAACACAAAATAAATAATTAATCACTGGCAAAGCACAAAGCACATCTGAGATATTAAACAGTCTGATCAGTATTAACTCATGCTACTGATGAATAGTGCCTTTAACTACCCATGAACTGCAATTTTCCTTCAGATATCTACTGCTTGGATCATTTCATTGTTGTTAGGAAACATAAAAGCTAATGAGAAAACCTCTCAAGCCCAGGGACTTAACATAAAGCAACCAAGGCCCTGAAAAACCAAATTCTATGTTTTTAGAAATCACCCCAGCGCCATTAAGGTTTGACTTCGTTTTGCCTCACATCCTGCAATGTCAATTTGAGAAATACATCTACCTTGGTTAACTTAGCAGTGGCAGGGTCTGTTTGGGGCTTTGGGTTTTTTACTGTTTTGTTCTTAGGTCTGGGGTTTTTCTGAGAGGTGGAGAAGGAGGGGAGCATTACTTGATTTGAACAATCCATTGGAAAATCAGCTTTGGAAGCGGTTTTTTAGGGTTTTTTGCCTTTTTACTCTGCCCTTGTCTGATGAGGAAATAATTTGTCCCTGCTGAAAGAAATTGCTATCGATGTAAGTGCTGATTGAAGCATCAGGGAAAACCCTGACTGTAAAGATTGACTGAGTGCTGAAAAGAGGTTCCAAGATGCTCAGCACACAAGAGATTTATGGAGGGAATGCTGACAGAGAACACAGTGACAGGTACTGATAAATATTAATTC